CCTAAAACATTAATTTACAGATTATAGAGGTAATACTATTCTCTAAACAAAACTATATGTTTCTAAAAAATAAAATAAAATACAAGATCAGTTCTCAGAGAGAAAATAAGACTGCGTGTATTTATAATATAATAAAAATTAAAATAATTAAATTTTTATCTCAGAATAGCCCCATTAAATGGGCAGATCAGGGATCACAGATGAGGAATTGGAGGCTCAACAAGCTCAAAGTCACTCAGCCAGTGAGGGGTGGTGCCTGACTCTCAAACCTCAAGTCCCCCAACTGCTGTGAAACACCGGGGATGGGGGTGGGGAAAGGACCAACTGGCCCAGCAACGTCTGGGCTCCGAGTGACCAAAACAAGAGTGACGTTCAGTTCTGGGGAAATAAGAAGGTGTTCTTTGTGTAGGACACAGATCCAAGGGAAGGAGAACCCCTAAGACTTTCAAAAAGGACTTGAAGTTTCTAAACAAGTGTACTTTTAAAAAATCAATTCACCATGCAATTGAGAAAATGCTGTACCAGCCACAGAGCCGCGCTAGGGGCCAAAACTCAGGATAAGCACAGGCACCCTTATACTCGCTCTCTGGAAACCCCCATCTCACCCCCACATGCTCATTTCCATTCTGCTCTCTTAGGACACTGAAAATAAACAAACTTGCCTCCTCTGGAACAAGTCACTTCCCCTAGATAAAAGGAGCCAACTGGATTTCATGACCTCTTAGATCCCCTCCACCATCAAAATGCTTTTATTGCCCAGAAAAGGGTTGGGCTAATTCTTTCTTTCTTTTCTAATTCCGCTTATCTTATTTGTACCTCAGTATCTCTACCTGCACTTCCCTGTGCTAGCCTCTTTCCTGTCTCAAGCCTGATGAAATGCTTTTGAATACTTTTCATTCTCCTCTCCAAACACCCACATTTTACCCTTCTTTCCAGTACAGCTCAAAATGTCCCTTCTCACCTGTGCCCACTGCTCCACTGGCCTGCAAGCTCTCTTCTTCCAATCATATCGTGGGTATTTTTTCCCCAGACTCCCTGGAGGGCACGGGCAGTTTTGTGCCTCTCATTCTGCCTTGTTCTGCCCCAGTGCCTGAAAGCTTGTGGGACTCCTGCCAGATGCTCAGGTGCTGTTGACAGGTAATGAGGGCAGGAACCAGGCCTTTCCTATTCACTGTCATACCCCAGCACCCAGAAGAGTGCTGGCTCCCAGTGCTAATAAATATTAGTTTGATTTGACAGTCATAAAATATTGCTTAGCAATTCTAGACACCTATCTTCTCACTCTCTACTCACTTGAGAGCCCTGTTACTGCAAGGCTGGTGGCTAGAAGTCCCTGATGCCAGTAATTGACCTGATATTCACAGCTAGACCTCAATATTATTAAAAGCAGTGTGAGACTCACAGCCAGGCCATTTCATTTTCCTGTTGGACAGAAACATTCATGAAGAACAATGACGTCAGACAAGATGCTATAGGCTGAATGTTTGTGTCCTCTTAAAATTCTTATGTTGAAACCTAACCTCCAATGGGATGGTATTTGGAACTGGGGACTTTGGGAGGTGATTAGGTCAGAAGGACAGAGCCCTCCTGAATGGGATTAGTGCCCTTATGAAAGAGGCCCCCAAGGGTTCCCTTGATCCTTCTGCCATGTGAGGACAGAGCCAAAACACAGAGATCTATGAATTAGGAAACAGGCTCTCAGCAGACACCAAATCTGTCACAACCTTGATCTTGGACTTCCCAGCCTACAGAACTGTGAGAAATAAATTTCTGTTATTTATAAACCACCCGGTTTATGGTATTTTGTTATAGCAGCCCAAACAGAATAGATGCAAGGTTACTCTGAAACCATGATAAAAAGAAACAAAACAAGGCCACCTCATAATTTTAAACAAGCACAGACAAAAATAAGGTCACTGTGCCAGCACAAAATACCCTATCATAGAACTGCCCCCACTTTCTGAGAACATCCAATTCAAAGCAAAACCCCGCTTCCTTAGGCCCTCTCCCAAACATTTAACAAAAGCCTAAATCCTATAGGTTCTTTGTAGCATCCTCTTACTAAGGCATCTTATTGCAATGCGTAATAAACCAACTTATTTAACTGTACAGGTGCTCCTAATGGTCTTTAGCTAAACTGCACTGTCCACTGTAGACAGTCATTTCACATTCATTAATATCCACGAACATATTAGGGGTAAGTAATAGTATTCCCAATTTATACTGTTAACCAAAGAAGAGATTCAGGCTGTAATAAAGAACAAAAAGTATTTATTTGAGCAAAGGATTGCAATCCAATAGATGTAGACTCCAGTAGCAACTCAAACTGCACTCTGGAGAGAACAAAAAAAAGGCATGGTTTATAAAGGCAAAAGCCACAAAATGTAATTCTTTTATGCAAATGAAGGATTGCTGGCCAGGTTAACAGGGATTGGTTAGTTCCACTATGCAAATTAGGGGGGTGAAAACTACAAGGAGAAGGCACAGTCTGTATGTGTACAGTAGTTGTGTGTTCCAGGATGTTTATGACTCAGCCTTGAACTGAGTTTAGTAACAGGTTTAGCAATTTCATAGCAGCTCTAAGAACTGAGGCACAAGATCTGCATAGGCCCCACCTCCCTAATAGCCTCCTGACCCTATTTTAAGTGACTCTCTTAGCACTGTTTATTCCATTTTATTTTTTTTTCCATTATCAATACCCAGGGAAACTAAGGCTGAAAGAGGTCAGGTGATTCAGAGATCATACAAGGGGACTTCTAGTCCTAACCCTGGTCACTTAAAGTAAGGTCAGCCCAGGCTGTTTTTACAACACCCAGATATCCTCAGCCACTAGAATCTTAGTTTGTTTCCTTTATCTTATCAGTGAAGTCAAATATCAAAAACAAAATCCCTCCCACCAGGACCATTTCTGTCTTGAGAAGCTTTTAAATGGAAGCTGAACTCTACAGTGAAGATTCCAATCTGGGTAGTAGGTAAACGCGTGTCCATTATATTATTCTGTATACCTATCTGTGTGTACATAAATATTTTACAAAATTTTTATAAAGTACAATGAACTGAAAAAGCCCCAGAAAGACGGAGGTGGTGCCTAGGTGGTGCTAGACGCCAGCCTTTTTACCTCCTGGGTAAACGGATGGAACAAGCAACAAACAGGACTCCAGCTCACTAACCAAGATAAGTAACATTTAAGGCAACATTTAAAAAAAAAATCAAATCAGCAAACTAGGACCCAAAGGCCAGTGCCTGTTTTTATAAAGTTTTATCGTTAAGTTCCAACAAGCATCTGTTTACCCAAAAATACCGAACTCCCATCATCCGCAAAAAACAAGATTTGTTGATAGATTGTAAACCATGTTTATTTACATTGATGAATGGCTGTCAAGTAATTATGCTTGTAAGGCACTTTAACTATATAAGGTGCTATATAAATGTAAAATATCATTTATTTGAAAATGAGGGGGAAATGGGCCTCATGGGTGTTGATCGCTAGTAGCTACGCCCCCTACCCCTCTCACACACAAAAAAACTTGCTCCAAAGGAGCTGAGAGAGTTAAGGGAGATAATCTCCCAGCAGGCTGCTAGGGTGTCTCTGAGACCACCGAGAGCTGGTGCGACAGAAGCTTGCAGTGGTCCCAGCTCCCTTCGCAGCATCCTGTCCCACGGCCCCTGTCCTGGCACTGCCATTCCACCCGGCTAAGAGGGTCCTGCGGCTTTAAACCCCAGAGGCCGCGCCGCGGGCCGTTGCTTAGGGAGACGGATGCACAACGGGGCGCGCGCACGCAGGTCCGGAGCCGCCGCGCCAGCCGCGGTCCCGCTTCCCGCTCGCCATGGCTAATTTGCATTCGGGTGGCAGCTTCAGAAAGCCGGACATGGACGAGGGCCAGGAGGGAGAGAGAGAGGAGGAGGAGAAGGAGGAGGAGGAGGAGGAGGAAGAAGAAGAAGAGGAGGAGGAGGAGGAGGAGG